TTAAGGATAGGCAGATTGTTACATAGAAATTTAAATCTATTCAAATAAAAGATCCCAAACTTTTTGATATTAATGTCGATTAGAATAAAATTCAGACTTAGATTTTAATAATCATTTTTCTCAGTTAACATTGTAACTTAATATGCTGTTTTTTTTATTTTTAATTTCTATTTAATTTTTGGTTGCTTTAAAATTAGTATATATTTTTCGTCAGATTGTTTAGTATTCCTAATATCAGTTAATAATATGTAACGTTAATTCCTAATTTCAGTTTTGGTTGGAAATAATTGTAAAGCTCATAAAAGTAAATATGACACATTTGCTGTTGAGTAATAATTCAAAAATGCTTACATACTGTTTTCAATATGTTTTTCATAAAGTTTTGAATAAATTTTTTCCAAAATTATTACTTCACGATAAAAATAAAATATCAAATGATTCTAAGAGAATAATATTAAGAATGATAGTGGATGATAAAGAAATATTACAAGTAAATATCTATAAATGATAATAAAACAAATAATTTATCAATATTTGTTAATTAAGTAACCTTACCAATTTTCTGGTCATAGGAATGTGTTGATACCTTTAGAAAATCATTTTAGACCCTTTCATTTATATGTTTCCCCCGAGAACTAATGAAAAACGTATTGGTTTGATAATTATAAATCTTCTCAAACATAATTATATTTTTATTTTATAAAAACTTTCATAAAAATGTTTATGGCAATGAATTTAAAAAGATATATATATTAAGTTAAGCCTAATTGTAAAAAAGTGGAAGGATATCAGGTGATTAGATATTAGTATGACCCGTTTTTACTTGAAATAAAGGCTTGAGGCTTCTCTCATGTATAACTCTAATTCAACTTCTTAGTGTTAATTTTTTTAATGTATACCCTTTTAAATGAAACATTTTGTTAATATAATTTGTATATATATATATATTTTTTGGCATAACTGAATATTTACCAAAATTGGCCCACAGCTGAATTTGTGATGCATGTCTAGTAGCGAAATATAAAAACTTTATTTGCGAAATATATTACTTTCTTTATTTCAAATTTATTTATTTTCTCTCTTTTTAATATGTGAAAAAAAAAGCAAATTTTAATATCTACTCCTAATTTTACAATTTAATTTCAATGAAATGATTAAAAATACAGATGTATATTCATAGAAGTCGTTAATCCTTAACAATCTGAAAATGTTTTAAAAAAACCCGACCCAGGTTTTCAAAAATAATAACCACTGTCACTTTTGTTATATATTTACTTGATGATAAATACTTATACTATTTTTAAGGTCTTTAATTTTTCAAAAAAAGTCCTTAAAAGTGCTTAATTTTTGCTTTGTTCAAAGGGTGGGAACTCTGAATAAACAAAATCTTATCTCAATAATAAATAATATCAGACAGATGGTATCCACTTACAACTTTCCACATGGTAAACATCAGAAATTTAAACTTGCATAATATGTTTAAAAAATGCTCATGTGTTATAATTAGCCAACAAATCAATAAGAGATAACAATTAATTTAATACTTAATTTTAATTTGAATAAAGACAATATATTTTTTAAAGAAAAAACTTAAGTATGCAATGTATACGTTTCAAAATAAATCGATCAAATTTTAAGAGGAGTGTTATGCTTATTTTAAGTATAGTGCGGCTTTTAGGAGAACTCCTCCAGACACCCGTCTCGCGTCGTGGCGGGTACTATGGTTACGAGGAAAGGTCACTTCGAATAGGGGTGTGAGGCAAATAATTTTGTCTTAATCTTAGCGTAGGTAGTTGTGAGTAGACCAAGCAAAAGGCACTCTAGTTGTGAGTAAACAAATCGACATCTTTTATCTTCAATTTCACCTTTCACCCCCATTAGAAATGTTGTTACTATAGCACAGTGGCGTATCTAGGGTATGGCAAGTATGGCGAATGCCATGGGCGCATTATTTCAAAAAGGCGCAAAATCAATCAACATCAACGATTATTTTTTTAATTAAAAATTTTACTAATTTTTTTTTCAAGTTATGGCAGAATTAAAAAAAGCATCCAACATTTAACCTTTCCTCGAGGGCTCGAAAAGAAGACATCGAGGTCTTTCGAGGAACTCTTTTTATAACTGGGGGAGTGAAATATGAAAGGGAACCGCTAATAATAAAAACAAAGTAGGTGACGAGCGTTAAACAATTTTAACCTCCCACTGTTTTTCATTTTTTTAATAACTTCGTTTGAAAACTCATAGACCACCTCAGTTAGGGATAATAGGAGGGCCAAGGTTTCCAGCGCTTTTACATAACTCGAAAAGCGCGGGAAATCTAAGTTGTTATATTGGATTCAACATT